ATCAATATGTTATCTGTGATCAATTTCCTCTTTAAAAATACAACTTGTTTGGAATAAATCAGAGTATGTAACACCTCCCTCAATTTATTCGAAATACGTTTGCTAATAATTTTATAAAGAACATTACACAAATCAATTGGCCTGAAGTCATTCATAAGACAAGGGGAGTTGACTTTCAAGATAAGGGAAATGAATGTGGAATTTATCTGCTTAGGGAATTTTACCTTTTTTGGAAGAGTCATACAATGCCAAAAACAAATCTTTCTTGATCACTTCCCAACTAAACTTATAAAATTCCACGGTAAAACTATCTAGGCTTGGCGTACAATCACAGGCTTTCACTTCCTCTATAGACACCTCCTTTATAAGTTCCCTTTGTTGATCTTCATTAAGAATTGAAGAAGGAAGAAAATGATCAACCAAACTAAGATTAATATTACTTTCTTGTGCCAATAATTCTTCAAAATAGCCAATAATGTGATTTTGGATTTCTACCTCAGAAGTCAGAGAACCATTTTTATTTTTGAGGAGGTTGAGCCTGTCATTTCTTCTTCTTATGATGGTGGACAAATTGAAGAAATGCGTATTTGAATTCCCATCCTTCAACCAAGTCTGTCGAGATTTTTGTCTCCACATACTCTCCTCATGTGAAAATAATTGTTGTTGGGCATGTGTACATGTTTTTTTTCCATCATCATATTCTCATTGGAAGGATCCCGACATAAATCATCATGCAGAATCAATAATTGTTGTCGAATATTAGATATTTGATTCCCACACTGACCAAAGAACAATACTTTCTTTGTGCCAATAATTCTTCAAAATAGCCAATAATGTGATTTTGGATTTCTACCTCAGAAGTCAGATAACCATTTTGATTTTTGAGGAGGTTGAGCCTGTCATTTCTTCTTCTTATGATGGTGGACAAATTGACGAAATGTGTATTTGAATTCCCATCCTTCAACCAAGTCTGTCGAGATTTTTGTCTCCACATACTCTCCTCATGTGAAAGTAATTGTTGTAGGGCATGTGTACATGTTTTTGTTCCACCATCATATTCTCATTGGAAGGATCCCGACATTAATCATCATGAAGAATCAATAAGTGTTGTCGAATATTAGATATTTGATTCCCCACATGACCAAAAGAACATCTATTCCAATCTCTTATGATGCTTCTCAACCTTTTCAGCTTTGTCACAAAACGGAACATAGGCGTGCCCTTGGCTCTAAGTTGCTATGAATTAGAGATAACATCCATAAACCCGGTATTGTTGCCAAGTCACGAAGTATATGAATGGTTAGATCCATCCAGTTGATAAAGTCACCAGCAAAGAGCAATGATCAGAATACCCTTGAGAAGTAACTCTACCTTGGATTTTTGATAAGATAAAACCCATTCCAAATTTGCCAAGGCCCGGTCTAGATGTTATTTGATACATCTTTTCTTAAGTTGGCTATTAGACCAAGAGAACCACCCCCTTGTTAAGCCTAAGTCAGTTAACGCATAGTCAGCCAAAGTATGTGCAAAGTCCCCTGAGTTAGGTGGTAGTGAATTCCTGCCACTCATCGTTTCATAATTGTCCAATATTGTATTGAAATCACCCAAAGCTACCCAAAGACCCTTGGTAGCTACACATATATCTCTCAGTAATCAATGATAAATTACACCACATAATCCTAATAAAAATTTCACATAACATAATGTGATCCCTCCCCTTTTTAAGCTCATAAAAAATTTCACACAACATAATGTGATCCCCAAGCTCGTGCCCTCATCTGAAGGTATCAGTGTCATATAAAAACAAAAATAATAAAAATAAAAATAAGTAATAATGATAAACTACACAACATAATCATAATAAAAAATTTCACACCACATAATCTTCATAAGATATTACTAAAATCTCAATTGAAATAATATACCTCTTTAATCTCCTCTAATACCTCAAAATTTTATAATGCAATTAGCGAACTTTTTAGTTTACTAATCAAACTTCTTCCCATTTTTTAACTCGTACCCTACCAATTGTGTATCATAAATTTATTGTTTATTTGAAATTATATAGAGAGACATTAGACTTCTATAAAACAAAAATAATAAAAATAAAAATAAGTAATAATGATAAACTACACAACACAATCATAATAAAAAATTTCACACAACATAATCCTCATAAGAGATTGCTAAAATCTCAATTGAAATAACATACCTCTTTAGTCTCCTCCCATACCTCAAAATTTTATACTAACGTTACCAAACCTTCTAGTTTATTAATCAAACTTCTTCCCATTTTTAACTCGTACCCTACCGATTTTGTATCATAAATTTATTGTTTATTTAAAATTATATAGAGAGATATTTGAAAGACTTCTATGAAAAATAAATAAAAATAAGGCTTATTATAATAAATTTATATAATTCCAATTATATTGTTCCAATGACTTATCATGTTGAAACCAATGCTATGTTAGAAAACATGTGATTGCATATAAGTGCCAAAGGTACTTAAAATAATTAGAAAATAGTGTCATGATTGTAAAATGGTACAAGTTATTATTAGAAAATCTTTTTGGGATGGTGATAATGCTATTATTAGAAATCTTTTTGGAATGATGTAATGATGATTTTAATTCAATAGTTTAGTGGAATTTTGAGACAGAAAAGAAGGAAATGATAATTCTGCATTTTAGTGGAATTTTGTGACAAAAAAGAAAAGAAATGATAGTTTATGGGCACATGCTATTTAAATGTTTGTAATGCATTTCCTATATTTCTTCCAAACATAGCCAAACAATAACAATGTATTTCCCGGATTGCATCCAAATACTACCCTAACAGTAACAATCCATTTACAGGTAATGTATTACACCAGTAATATATTTCACAGACAATATATTTCCAAGTATCAAAACAGTCCCTAAATGTTTTTATATTCACCGAGGAATCACAAACTCCAAGATGGTGATCTCCCCTCATCTCTGAGGGGCACACCAGTCCTTCTAATTACCAAAAAGATCAACCAACCTTCTACTTTGGAATTCAGGCCTCGCTAGAGCCCATAATATAATAAGCTTCTCAAAAAATCTCTTTACTTCCACTCTAGTATAACTAAAGATTCGTCCATTGGGTTGCTCCAACTCTGAGCACACAACTGCCACAAAATCTTCACTCTAGCACCAGAAGAGGCAAGAAAAAATCTCTAGAAACAATGAAAGACACCAAATTGCGAGGAATCCCATACCAACCCAAACAAGTGTATGGTAAACGACCGCACTGTATTTACCTACAGTAAACTAGTAGATGATCCATTTTTCTATCTCCTCCCAACATAAAATGCACTTGTTATGGATAGGCAGACCGAAGACAGTTCACAATCAGTATACTAGGCTGATGCCTCATCATAACATCCTACCCTTCATTCCTACCGTCAACATATAAAAAAAAAAATTATTATTATGATATTAAAGCCACCAGAAAGAACTCCAGGTAGAGGGTGGCACCTGCACTTTCCACACCCTCGAGCATGGCACCACAACCCTTTCTCTTCAATCAGAACTCTATAAAGAGATCTCAATATGAAATCTCCGGGCTCACCAAAGACCAAACTTGCCTATTAATATACTCCTCAAAAGAAATGTAAACCCCCTCCAACGCTACCAATAGCTCCATGAACTGTATCAACTCTGAATCCTTTAGACTCATAAATCTTGGGCACCAAGAGTCTCTAACATTGATTCTCTCATAGCAATTCTTAGTGTCTACTCTTTTCAGAGCAGGGGATCTAGCACCAAAAGTGATATGATCGCCCCCCCAAAAGAAATCCAAAGATTTATCCACAGAGAGAGAGAGAGAGGAATTTAAATCGACTCATAATATAGCTACATAGCTACTGATGTGGAGGAAGTCTTGTAACTCTTGTTCATCATCCATGCCCATAATTTTTAATGTCATCTTTCTCTGTTATGCTGGTGCTTCAACATTTGTTCTTCACTCAAAAATCTCAAGATCATCGGTCAAGGCTAGGGTCCACGATACATTTATTTTGTTTCATATAGTCAATATACAATAAGAACTTGCATCTATTCAGAGTATTAAAAGAATGGTAAAAATCTTAAGTAATCCATCAATCGAAACCATAATTAGCAACACAAACTATACTTTTAGTAGAAGTATACTTAGGGCCTGTTCGGCTGCTCTTCGGCCCTAGGATATTCTTTTTCTACTATTATATAATAAGAGCAAAATACATTTGTTTTTTGTTCAAATAGCTACTGTTCATAAGCGTTTTCTACACAAGTTGGGATCCAAAAGCGCCGGATACAAAGATGTGATACAAAAGGAGCACAAGCATATAATATAATAGTACTAAACCCGGGTCCATCCAAACAGGCCCAAGAGTGTTTGTACAAATGAATCCTTTGTTCACATCATCAACATATATTCCCGCAAAACAGAAATAATAAATCATAAAGAAGGCGTTCAAAACAATTCTAAAGCATTAGGAGATGCCAGCATCGTATAACCAGAGAAAAAGAACACTTCTCCTTGGTATAAAAAGGATACTGGTAACTGATAACAATAATGTTATCCACAGAATAAGAGTATGGAAGTTTACTTTATTGGCTCATCGCAAGTCATAGCAATGAGATTGAAGTACGAACTCGACTGGTCCGAGTCGAAAAAAGGAGTATGTTCAGGTAGTAGAGTCAAACAAACACATGAAGATAAATTGCTAATCACCCTGATCCAAATAGATATAGATGTGCAATGCATGATGCCAGATAGTACATATCTAAGAAGTAATTCTCACTGATTATTCATCACTGAACAATTATTCTCTTCTAAAGACCCATATTTTTCTTATCAAAACTCTAGATCATAGCACAATCTCTCCAACAAGAACTCATTCTTAAGACAAAACAAGAGAAAATAAGAAAATAAGGGGGGTGGGGGGTATGGGGTGGGGGGTGGGGGAAAAGAGAGAGAGAGAGAGTCCATTCTTTAAAAATGCACGTTGATTGGTTTCCACTCTTCACACCATAGAAAACACATTCATGCTTGTATGCTATGCATTGAAGCTAGCAACATCAGACATCACAAAGATGACCAGAACCAAAACATATCTTAAATTTAATAGTATTTCAGGCCACATATCAACTAGGGTAAAAACCAAGCATAATCCTAATAGATTAAATAAAACCATGGCTCCAATCAAGATCCAAAATAGACTGGTTATTAACTACTAAGAAAAGCACCACCTGCTCTTTTTTACTCGGATCTTATTCTGTTCTCATTCAGTCCTTTGTCTACCGAGAACTCAAACAACATGGTGTGTTTGTACTTTTTGCCTGGTTCCACCACAATCGAAGGGAAGTTGGGCTGGTTTATAGCATTTGGGAAACCTTGTGTCTCCAAACACAAGCCGGCATGCTTCCCGTACACTGCCCCTCCTTTACCAACCACCCCATTCACATAATTTCCTGTATAAAACTGAACACCAGGTGCATTGCTCCATAGAGTCAAGACACGAGAACTTGAAGGATCTCTCAACCTGGCCACAAGCTTCAAACCCATCTTCTCTTCTCCACAGTCCAATACATAGTTATGATCATAACCGCCAGGAACCTCATGAATCCTACTCCCAATCTTCTTCTCCTCCAGGAAATCAAAGGGGGTGCCTTTTACTGGCATGATCTCACCAGTTGGGACTGTGTATTGATCCACTGGTGTTATGTGAGATCCCCACAGTTGAATGTGATGGTCTAGAGTGTTTCCTGCATTGTGACCCGCTAGGTTCCAATAAGTATGTTGGGCCAAGCTAATTGGGGTTGGTTTATTCTCAGGTATAGATTCCATATCGAGCCGTAAAGTCATGGGTCCCGGTAGGGAGTAGGTGGCTGTGATGTTAAGATCACCGGGGTAACCTGTTTCAAGAATTTGTTAAAAAAAAGGAAGAAAAAAAAAGAAAAAATTATTTGGTTAAGCCCCAATCTTTCAAAAGATTAAAGGTATAACATGAAAATTTGAGTAATGGGGATGATGTGAAGAATTTTATGTTGGAGGTATGGAAGCTTACCTTGCTCTCCATCATGACTATGGTATTTGAATGTTATGGAAGGAGTCTCGTCATGGTCTTTCTCCAAAACCTCCCAAGCAACCTTGTCAAAGCCTCTCTCTCCACCTGAAGAAAGGCAATTCAATTAATCATGGAGTCATGCTTGTAACTAGAAGGCAAGAATTAATTTTATCAAGATTATATGGGGAAATCTAAGTAAATCTGCAACTCATGCTAGGCAAGTAGGCAATCCCTAAGTTACATAGCTAGAATGAGAGCTAGTTAGACAATCGGATCCTTTTCTTTGATATATAAATCACAAACAAATGACAGTGAAAATGAAAAATCAACGCACAAAAAGGACATATCCATTTTTTGGATGACCACTTAGATTGCAGAATGGAAGAAATGAACAACCTTTCAAAAGGAAATTGAATAAAAAGCCATGCTCTTATTTCCTTTTTTTTATACTTCTTTATATATTTTTTACCAAGGGCCACTGATTTTTTTTTCTTTTGTAGAATCGTGTCATTTGGAACCTAAAAATTGTTATCCAGAATTGACCCACTTAACAATTAAGCGCTTTATCCCAGTGGTGATATAGGTATGTATCTCCTACTTACAAACACGAAAATAAAACCCATAGTAATATTTACTTTGTTTGAAAGGATTAGAGGGTTCAAATGTAACTTTCGAGTCAATATTATATAGGTACCATATGTTTTCACCTAATTTTACAGTCCTGAAACATCTCGAGACAAGCATCAGAATAACTTTCATAACCATAACTGAATGACCATGTTTTGAATATCTGCAGTATTTTATTTTCAGAAGTTCAGCATAATATACTACGGGGGAAGAAAAGTTATTTACATTACTCCCTAGCAAAATAGGAATAGAAGGAGCTCTCCTAGATGTCAATCTTCATTAGTATCCAAGCCTTATCCCAACTATTTGGGGTCCGTTACATGACTCCTATCCTGCCATTCCACACTACCAAGGCCTACACCCACAGTCGGCCATAAGTCACCATATCTCTTCTTACTACTTCCATCCCATTTGGGACTTCGCCTTGCCCTTTTAGAGCCTTCCACTTGAGCTAAATCGCCCCTACAAACCGGTGTTGTTCTCTCCCAGATCTCAATTGAAAACAAAATAATGTAGAGATACTATAAAGCAAGAGTGAAGTAGTGTTCAATTACCATACCAGGCAAGGATATAGAATTCTGAATCATGGAATTACCTAGCATTCAGATTAACTCAAATTCTTATTATATTTAATGTTTATTTATTAGAATTTTTCACTATCATCCTGATCACATCTAGAAAAAGGAAACAGAGCACCAGTAATAGATAGAGAAGAATGTTTTTTTGGATCCTCACCATGCAGACTATTTGGGGGCTTATTGATAGGCAAGGAATATTGTTCCCCATTGAGCGCGAACTTGCCATCTTTAATCCGGTTGGCTACACGGCCTACGATGCAACCAAAGTAGGGAGAAGCTCCTTTCTGACGTCCTCAATAACCAAGAATCACAGAGGAGAAAAGAAGCATTGTGTTAAAGTTCCACATGAAAAACACATCAAAATATGGAAGAGAAACACTAGCTATGGAGATATCCAGAACAAATATACGGATTTTTTATTCTGTTTTTACAAGCTCCAAAATTTACAATTTGACTCTTACAATGACTCTTTTCGCATCAAGTTTTTTGTTCTAACAGGATTGACAAATAGAATACCCCAAAGACAATTCAAAAACAGAACAGGTTTTCAGACTGATACAAACAATCCCTAGTAACACAATGTCAGGTAGTAATTGAAATTAAGCCAGGATTTCCACTAATAAAAAGTAAAAATAAAATATTAGCTCGATCCTTTCCACTAGTGTAACAATCAAAATAATGCACAAGGTGACACTACAGTTATATCTCCAAATAAATCAAATGAAAGACCATATTTCTGAGGGAAAAGGTTATATTTGGTTGCAACCTTAAGATGCACCATTAAGGTGCAACTAAAAAATCCATCGTAAATGGGTGTTTTTTGAAGTTGGTATACTCTCTAATGATATCGAGATGTACAAATATGAAAAAAAAAATTCAAAGTCCCAAAAATAGTTCATCTTGGAATACATTATCTGGACCGTCCATTTTAAAGATTTTCATGTGTGTATAGATCTACTTGATTTGAACAATTTTTGGAGCCTAAAATTTTTGTAATTAGAGATGAAAATGGATTCTCAGGTCATCCTAAGAATTTTTTACGCCAAAATTACGTCTTGTGATGAAATTTGGTGGTGCACCTTATTTTGATTGTTTAACGTTGCAACCCTATACAAACCACACCCTGTTTCTAATACTCTTAATCAAATTCGCAAACAGTTTCTGTATAACATATACATAAAATGCAACAGTCTCTATGCGTTGACAATCCCTTAAATAGTGAATAGACTCAAACTGGAGTTTGCATGAACCAAGACCCAATTAAAATTACAACTCCAATGCTGCATTTGCTAACAATCGTGTTAAAAATCAGAGGAAAAGGGCGGGCGCCATCATAATTACAAATGCACCCAATAACACAAATCAACCCATCAAAACTTGCATGCAGCATTATAAGAAAAATCAAGGGATAATCATCTTTAAGACAAATGGGAAGAGAGAAAAAGGAGATGGAAACGTTACCAGATAGGGCTCGAGGGAGTCGAATCCCAGAACAACATCAGCGAGATCACCTAGAATTGAATTAATTCGCCATCAATAAATCAGAAAGAAACGAATGAATCGGAATGCTACCAGAGAGAGGAATAGAAGAAGAGCATAAGGTAACCTTTCGAATCGGGGACGAGTAGAGATGTAATGGTGGCGCCCCAGTTGGTGAGCTTGAGTTGCAGAGTTCCATTGCTGAGACCAAATAGCTCCGGGACGGGCTCATGGCTCGTACTCTTCGATTCCGCCATTGCAAAAGACAATCAACGAAAGAGATGGACTGATTGATTGACTTAGCAGGCATGGTGGAGAAAGAGGAGGATAATATAGATCGCCACAATCACGGCTGCGATCACGCGTGGGTCTAACGCCTGCTACTTCGATTCGAAGAGTCGTCAGAGAGCAAGAATCGTGGGTCTAACGCCCCTCTACTATGATTCGGAGTCGTAGGAGCGAGGAAAAAGTATACATAGACCCGAGGCTCTAAATAACCAAATTATAGCTCACACCAAAAATTTAATTAAAAGAGGTTGTTTTGATGACCAAACATCCTCAAATTGATCATCTCTACTCTACATCAAGAGGTATAAATATGAGAAAAAAATGGATTTTAAGTTTTGCTGTCAAGTTTCAAGATTTTTTATGTTTTTATAGATATGCTCTATCTATACTATTTTTAAAGCTTTAGATCTTGTAATCAAAGATAAAAATATATTTTAGAGCTATCACAAAGGTTTTCAATATCCAAACTATATTTCTCGACACTATTTGAAGGTGGGCTTCACTTTGATTGTTTAGAGCCTCGGCTCTATGCTAACCACACCCATTTCAAGTTATGCCTTTTAGAGAGGAAAACTACGGAGGGAGTGCATTCTAAACTACTTATTTTCAGCCCAGGATGTGGTTCTAAAAAAGAAAAAGTTTATATGAGTGCAAGGTTATAGACAATTAAAGTATAGTACTTCTCAAAATTTCCACTAGAAGAGGTTGTTTCTGTGCTCAAATATCCTCAAATTGATCATCTCGACCTCAAGATGCATGGACATGAGAAACAAATGGATTTCAAGTTCAGAAATAGTGCACTTGTAATATATTTTTGGACTGTCAATTTTTAAGTTTCCCTAGATCTACTATATTTACACTATTATTTAGGCTTTAAATTTTATAATTAGAGATGAAAATATATTTAAGACTGTCACAAAGATTTTCAATATTAAAACTACATTTCTTAACATTATTTGAAGGTGTGGTTTACTTTGATTGTTTAAAACCTCGGCCTTTCCAAAATGATCTTTTTAATATCTACAAAAGATTATTTATCTTTTGTAGATGGAGGTCACTATCATTCTAGTCCCTTAAATTTCAAAATGGGTGATTGTAAGAGTATTATGGAATAAACACAATATTCCAAAACAAATGTTCTCCGGCTTCGTAACTAACTCCAAACCATCCAATCTAATGAGTGTGACCTCCTTGTATAAAAAATAAAAGGTCTCTTTGTAGGCAATCCCAATTACTTTTACGTTTATCACTTTTTTTTGTGATTATATATTATGATATCAGTTATTTTTGGTACAAAGAAGTTACAATTAGTTTCAGACATTGAATGTGAAATCCAAAAGATAAAAATATCTCACAATATTCAAGAAATTTTATTTTAGATTTTGTTTTCTAAATAATAACAAATCCTCAACCACCCCATTTCAAATCTAACGGTTTATAGTCATTGTGACCTCTTTATATCAAAAGTAAATGATCTCATTGCATATATTTTCTTTTAAAAAAAATATATTTATATAAATATTTGTATGAAATTAACTATTGAGTATTTTACCAATGTGGAACTATTCCGACTTAAGACTATATGTTATTTACCAATGTGGAACTATTCCAACTCAAGACTATACATTCTTTTATAGGTATTTTCAAATTAAAATAAAAGATAGGAGCAAAGTGTTAAATTGTTCATCTCTTATGGGTAATTTGATAAATTTCTATCCCTTTTTTTTTTAGATTTTGGTGCTGAGTCAATGTTACATCTCTAGCCGAATTTCACATTTAAAGACTAAAAGGTAATTGGGCCTTTTTTACACTAAAAGTAAATGGTCATACGGTATACTATATACGAGTAATAATCTTATGAGACCCTCCTACACTCACGTGTATAGGACATCAAATGATCACCATTAAATTTGGCACAGATATATAAAAAAGTTATCACATGGGTATGGGACTTGACTTTCCTAGATATCTGTACCAAATTTAATAGTGATCATTTGAGGTCTTACACACATGGATGTGTAAAGGTCTCACAAAGTCATTTCCCATTATATATATCTATATGGATTATATATAATGAGACCATTTACTTTTGGAATAGGGAGGTCACAGTTACTTATAAATATCCGATGTGAAATATGATAGCTTGGGTGTGTCATAAAATTCGAGAAAAAATCTCTTGAACTTTGAACTTGGTCAATGACATGAATGCAGCCACTCAATTTTACATCCAATAGTCAAGATTTATTGTGACCGTCTTTTACCAAAGGTAAATAATCTCGTTCATACTTTCCCATATCAAAATACCATTCAAGTTTCTAATTCCTTAACAAATTATTAAGGAAACGGTTTTTATGCAATCTAACCCGCCAGCTCGCATGAAAGCTCCACCGTCTAAGTAAGTTTGACGCCAGCCGAAGAAGGCGGTCTTCTGCTAGCCCGCACAAAACAATTTACCAATTATTGACAACCTCAAAACATTCCAATTAGTATTGCAGAGTTTATTTTTTAATTCTCATTTCATTAAAAATATAACTTCAAAAAATATCTTTAAAAATACCTAAATTACCCTTATTCAACGATGAGGAAGCCAAAGTAAGTTATTAATTTGACCCATTTAAAAGGTCCCAACAATCCAATTAAGGCGCACCTCCATAACATGTAATTTTGGTGTAAAATATTATTAGAATTATCTGTAAATATATTTTTATATCTAATTATAAAATTTTAAACTCTAAAAATGGTTAAAATCAAGTAGATATGTAAACATATGAAAATCTTGAAAATTTACGGTATGGATAATATGCTGCAAATGCACTATTTTTGGGACTCAAAATCTTTTCTTTTTATATTCATACATCGCAATGTCGAGATAATCAATTAGAAGGTGTTTCAACATTAAAACAACTTTTTATGATGGAATTTTCAAATGCATCTTTAATTCTATATTTTAAGGTTGCAACGTTATATAAACTTTTTTCATTTTGTAACGGATACTAACACCTTAAAAGGATCATCTAACAAATCACTAAAGTCAAATCATCTCATTTAATATTGACAATGCTATTTAATAACTTGTTTCGATCACATACTTCTTTAAAAAATATTATAGAAATGACCAAGCGTCCCTATTAAGGATTAGAAACCCTAAACAAGTAGAAAGATTATAATAATTTAAGCCCATTAAAATAGGCCGAACATAAAGTTGATGCCCAACTATCTTGCATTTTATTCGACTATTATGTGGACATATGTTTGTCATTTTCTGTTTGATTTAATTCCATGAATCTCCATTATGTGGAATTGGATTGATTGATGTTTGTAGCCAAATGCAACATGCATTTGGAATAGGCCCAAGCCCCAAATTTCCTTTCATTGCTTTGCAGTCAGAATTTATTTACATGCATAAGATAGAATTTGATAGAGACCATACTTTATAACTAAGAAAGAATGAGGTGGGAAAGGGGTCAGGGTCGAATGTGGTGGAAAAGGGGCCGGGTCATAGATGTAGTACCCCATATTTTAGTTACACATCGTGCTCTTCAATCTCACTGATAACTTCAAAAACTTAATTATTTGAAAAACAGGTAGGGCCTATATTCCGCATTGAATTACCTAAAAAAAAAAAAAAAAAATGTGGTGTACCATTGTATCTACTCCCTGTTTGGCAAAATTGTCCACCACTCCACATCGCTATTGCATTTTCACATAGAAAGATTGATTTTGACTTTCGTCGTCATTTTTCTTAGGAAGTCTAAACTTCCTTTTTTCGAAAATGTTCATTATCAATTGCAGTATATTTATCACATTGTAGTCTAAGTATGCACTTCAAATTGACATATCCTCAAATTTTGCAATTCAATTGACACAACTTACACGTTGACAACCGACAACAACCAAGGGTCTAAACTTGAAAATAAGGGTAGACCATGTTTTCTTTTGGGTTGGGTTTCCACAAGATTGTCACTTTAAACAATCAAAATTAAAGTGCACCTCCAAAATTTGTCTAATTTTGGTGTTGGAAATTTTTAGGATGGCGATGAAAATCTATTTTATCTCTACTTCAAAAATTTTAAACTCAAAAAATGGTTCAAATCAAACTGATCTGTAAACACATGAACATATTAAAAATAGACGGTCTAGATAATGAGTCGCAAGATATACTATTTTTAGGATTTGAAATCTCTTTTTTTCTTCATATCTATACATCTGGATATCGAGATGATCAATTAGATATTTTTCCAACACCAGACCAACCTTTTTCAAAAGATTTGAGAGGTGCACCTTAAATCTACATTTTAAGATGTCAAACTTATATAAATCAAACTTATATAAATCATTTTCTTTATCTTTTAGTGGGCAAGATTTGTAGTCTTTTTTTGGATTAAGTGGAACTGACGAAACTATTCGTTAGTTGGTTGGGAGAAAAATAGTAATATTTTTTAATGTTAAAATTTTTTTAGTAATATTCACTTTTAAGTTAGCCACCCAAACTGGCCTAAGTTTAAAAGCAACACATTTCACGTGAACTTATTAGTCGTTAGTTTACCGTCAGGGATTACGTTTTTGAGATGGATTTCACTTGCTAAACCAAGTCTGTCCTACGTAAATGAATTTTGATTTGGATTTTGGATACAGAATTTACGAGACTTCCATCGAGACCACCACAATCATGAAACCTAAAAAATGCACAATATTGTCCATTTTTCCCTATTGATTCGAATTCTTCAAACATAGATTTGTACTATCATTAGAGATCCAAAATCATTCATCTAAGGTGAATAGATTTACAGGGATTTGACAAGTGTTTGGTGCCTTACATCTTTTGAAAACCAGAGCAGCCACATGGCTCGGCTGATTCACCAAATAGTCTTCCTTATTTATTTAAAGTTAAGGACCCTGAAAAGTTGAAAAGCTAATGCCAAAAGTTCCCAAGTGTCCATACCTGCCGTCGGGATGGCTCTGAACTCCCTAGCCAAACAGGCTAGACCAGGTCTGTTGGAGTTCATGTTTTTCATAAATAGTGACTTCTTTGTATTCTGCTTTAGTTCCCAATTCCGGTGCTGGGGCGCACCAAAAAATCATTGCTTTGAGAATGTGAAGAAAACAAAAAAATAATAAATTTCATTTTCCCTCTAGCTTGTCAAATCCCACATCTTTTTGGAACTCAAAAAGCATATTACTTCCTGGGTTAGACATCGAAAGAAAGAGGGGAAATTTATCTAAATACATCTGCCTTATCATCTATATAACATCCTACTCATTTCGATTTTTCCAACTCGTGATCATGCATATTTTGATCATTCTTTTGAAATTAATCCAACAATAATGGTAAAATATTAAATATTTCATATATTAAATGCATTTTGATAAATTTGCCTAGAAACAATAATTCAGTCCCAGTTCGAATAACCTAGCAGACTCGCATCTCCTAAACTATAATAGCAAGAGTTGGATTCAGTAAGTTTTACTGTTTTAGCCCTTCTCACTATGCACACAGTAAATATCGAACAACAGTTTCAACATACAAATTTGTCAGGGCAAAAATCCAGAGGGCTTCCATTTTAGCACATACTGATCAAGAATATCTTTACCACCTATCAGACTCACTATATTTATCTGTTCCATAAATTTACAAGATTATATATACAACAAAGAATGAACAAAATTTGAAAGTCACCATCAAACCCCTTACCCAGCGTTTTAGTCACTTCAAACTTAGAACACATCGGTGGATCTGGAGGAGGGGTTGGTGGTGGTGGTGGTGGTGGTGGCGGCAATGGCAACAGCTGTTCGAGAAGAAGAGGGGTCACCAGAGGAGCTTGCATCTGACCTTGACTTTGAATAAGAAGATGTTCTGTCGCCTCTTTTTCTACCATATCTTACACCTGGATAGCCAGGCCTTGTCGGTTCAGCTAAGGTTCCGGGCCTTGCCAGCATTTGACTTACATTAGCCATAGTTGGTCTTTGTGCTGGGTCGGCTTGAACGCATAGTAGAGCCATTTGTATGCACATCTTCACTTGCTCGTCCACTAATTTAAATGAGCCTAATGCCATGTCCACCATTTCTGAACATCGGCCATTCTTCCATAGCTTCCATGCCTGTGGGGATGGGACAGGTGAAATGTAAGTTACCTGAGGCGAGGGTGTAAGTTCTCTCTTTCTCTCTCTCTCAGACACAAACGCATGCACACACATAAGGCTACAGGTTTCTCAGTCTTGTGCTCACCCAATTTAGGAGGCCCCGTGAGTCCGCTTGTAGGTCAAAGCTTGAGTTCTTCTGCCCACTGATTATTTCAAGGACCAAAACCCCAAAGCTGAAGACATCAACCTTAAGTGATAGCTGCCCATGCATCATGTACTCCGGGGCCATGTATCCACTGCATTGCACAACAAAACTACAACTTTAGTGTTCACCTCTCTAATTTCTAAATCCTTTGTACCGAGAACATTGTGAAATTGGACCTTGTGACTACTACACTGTATACTCATTCTTGACAAATTAAAAGCATGCTTCGAGCTTGTCAGCACCATTTTTCTGTTTTTGGGTGAAAAATTGCCATCAGCAATAATTTATGGCCATTTGCTGTACAAACATTTGTTGGGGAAATTAAACCAAAAAAACAAAAGGGATTTCTTGCAATGAAGGGTGCCTAAGGAGGACTTAGTATTGGTGTATCCTAAACACCTATAAACAGGAGCACCAGGTAAATTTTGCACAATATGACGGTTCCAACGTTGAAGTTTGATTGAAACTCAGTTGCATTAAGGGCTCATCTGTCTAATGAATTGAACCCCAACTTCAAAACCTTAAGAAATCTGATGGGAAAAACCTATCACAGTGATCAACATAGCCCTCATTCCTTTTTACACTGTGCCTTCCTCTTTACTCTGCCAACACATTTTGCAGAAGGCCCAGCAACAGCCAAAATTTATCTCCAGAACAAGTACTCTCATTTCATTTCTTAATTATGTTTTCATAAGTTCTCTGATGGATTTTCTATTATGGCGCTGTGGAGTCTTTTCTTTGTGTGAACTCCTCGGTCTCTTTTTTTCCTTTCAGTATGCATCTTTGGTTTTTGTGCCAAGTGATACATTCCTTCTCCGAAATGTTTAACTTTTTAGGTAATTTAAAAGCAGATCCTCTCCCCTTGCATGTACCATCACAAAGCTTTCATGCCCGATGAACTTGTCAATAATCGTGGCATGAGTCTCACGTTAGTAGATTATATAGCAGAAGGTAGTATGACACAAACTAGAAAGATCCAAAATAAATGTTCCTTCAACCTAGGCTCCACTAACCATTCAAATAAATCAATAAATTTAAAAATTTTACCATAAAAAAAGAACACAACAATCACTTCCTTGATAAAACTGAAACACATAGAAAGCGTCTTAAGGAGAAAAAAAATACGTACTTTGTGCCCGCCACTCTTGTGTTCACATGGGTCTGGTCCTCGGGGAAGAGCCTTGCCATGCCAAAGTCTGCAATCTTAGGCTTCCACTTCTGGTCAAGGAGAATGTTGCTGGCCTTGATATCTCTATGGATTATCATTATGTGGGAGTCCTGGTGGAGGTAGAGCAATCCACGTGCCACTCCTGATATTATGTCAAATCTCTTTTGCCAGTCCAGTTCTTGTCTCCTATTGGTGTCTGCTAGATCCACGAGTGCTACTTCTCATCAGTACAGCAACTATACTTCCTATGCCTAAAATACAACCAAATACCCAAAAAGGTATTCGAAACAGACATTTGCTATTCAAGAACTACTTCTGAGTGCGTGAATGGGTGAACGAGTGTATACTTGTGTGTGTGCATGCAAATTATAAAATAGAGCTATTTTTAATTAACTCTTTTCATTTTTTTTAAACAAGAATCAAACTTTACATTCCAAGTTTCATTTTTCAGTAGGAAACAAAACTGAGCTGGGAAAGTAAAAATACTTGCCTTACATGATAAAGGAAGAAGATTACATCGTCCATCCCAACTACCTAATTAGATGGTCCACACCACAAAAAGATCGTTTCTTTTTTTTTTTTTAATTTTGGGGGGGGGGCGGGGGGTGTGTTGGGGGCAGATGTGGAAAAGGTGATGTGGAAATTTTCAGATCATTTCGAATTCACCTCATATATACTACATTATTAAGCCAAAGTTAACGGGTAGATATATTGTCACAAGAATAAGAAGGGACCTATCTTTAAAGACATTATGGAGGAGGTGAGATGACTATCGGGTGTTGTGATAGTTACTGGTTGTTAGGTAGTTACTAAACCATCATAACCACCCAAAGAACACTCATACCTCCCTACCCCATAGTTACTTCCTCATTTTATAAATAAAACCTGTTTCTTTTATTTTATAAACATTTTTTGTTATCCAAATTTCCAGTAATAACTACTTTCTCTTTCTAAAAATAAAATGCCAACAATAATTACTCTCTCTGTGGAAATAAAAGACAACTATAGTGCATTGAAGGCTCGCTATTTTAGTGCATTAAATAGGAGAGACACCCTATAATTTTGAATTTCGAAACTCTTTTAGAAAGATTTGTTGAAGTTAACTAGGTATTTTCATTGTGGTAGTCTCTTTTCATTCTCTTTCTCTTTTTATGTTTTTTATTGTGGTAGGCACCTACAAGATAAACTACCGTGGTGCATGTTGTTCGTAGATGACATAGTTTTGATCGATGAGACCCGAAACGAAGTCTACACAAAGAACTTTGGAGGAAAGCACTAGAATCTAAAGGTTTTAAAATTAATCGGACTAGGACAGAGTATATGGAATGTAAGTTTAGTAATAATAGGAGTAAAGACAAGGAAGTAATTGAGATTGACGGCCAAGAAATACCAAAAAGAGTGCACTTTCGATATCTTGGGATGATAATCCAGGAAAATAAAAAGATTGAGGAAGATGTCACACATAAAATTAGAGTTGGGTGGGAGAAATGGAAATGTGCAACGGAAATTTTATGTGATCGCCACATACCAATGAAGCTTAAAGGCAAGTTCTATAGGATAATTGTGAGACCTACTTAGCTCTATGGGGTTGAATGTTGGGTGGTCAAAAACATATACCCATAGAATGAGTGTAGCGGAGATGAGGATGTTGAGATGGATGAATACTAAGGCAAGAAGGGATAGAATTCGAAATGAATCCGTTAGGAAAAAATTAGGTGTGACACCAATAGGAGATAAGATGAGAGAGAGTAGACTTAGGTGGGCTAGCCATGTGTGACGCAGACCCAATACAACACTGGTTAGGAGGTGTGAGTTAGTTCATGTGGAAGGCTCAAAAAGGACAAAGCACAAGCCCAAAAGGACATGGTTGGAAGTAGTGAGAAAAGATATGGGGATTTATGGCCTCACTGAGGGTATGGCCCTTAATAGATGGCGGACTAGGATTCGTGTAAACGACTCCAATTAGTCTTACTCAAAAGACAACACCCTACAACTCGTGAATTACACCCTTGCATTCATATCTATCAGTAATTAATTATGAGTCACACATGGGCACAACCCCTCTATGGTGACTCTTTATGGGTTACAACTTATTAGTAGAGACTCTCCATATATGTCGTGATTCTTCACTAATTACATAAATGTGAAAAAGCATAATGTATGGGTGCACATTTTCAATAGTACTCCATCATACTTTATTTATAATTGTTTAAATCATTATAATCAATTATTTAGATTTTAGTTCAAGTGGAAGGACTGAAAAGGGCAAAGGTTAGGCCCAAAAGGACGTGGTCGGAAGTAGTCCGAAAAGATATGGGGATTTATGGCTTGACTAAGGATATGGCCTTTAATAGAACAGAATGGAGAATTATGATTCATGTAGCTGACCCCAATTAATTGGGAAAAGGCTAAAATGATGATGACAATGAATCAATTATTTTGATTATAATAATTGTCAATATTAGTAATTATCGTGAAATTAAAAATCATGATTGATATAAACATTCATAATGATACTAATAATATAATTGTAACATTCTAATGAATCTTATAACAATTACTTAAATAAGTAGAATCCTAATTAAATATTATGAATATACTATATAACTATAATTTCATAATTAGATAATGATGATGACAAAAGAAATAATATTAAAATAATAATATTTTAATTATTAGTAGTATATATTATATAATAATGAATATTTTATTGAATACAATAATAACAACTATATAAATTTAATTAGTTTATTCTAGGATTACTAAATATAGTTGAAATTTATTTGATCTATTTATTCAAAAGAAAACATCCTTATACCATTTATAATGTGATAAAGTTGGGCATCTTAAATTGAAGTAAATCTTCATATCGAGCTTCCATTAATGCAGTACTCCCCACAAAGTGAAGTGTTATAGTATAAATGAGAGTATTAACAGCATCACTTTCAGAATAGAGGATATCTTGATTTTGTTCATTCTTTACAGTCCATAGACGAGTATTGGTTAGGATTTGATTTTTTTAAGTTTCAGGGAGGTGAAAATCCCACCAACCTCTTAACCAGCCAATAAATCCACAAACTATGGCTTTGGCGACTTCTTGATCTTGGTTACCAACCATTGTACAGGCTGAAGCATACATTGTCATATGTTTCATAGTATCTAATATTTCGATTTCAGCCATGCCATCGATATTCCAGTTAACTATTGATCTGCCTGAATAGGAAGTTTTATGTGATATTAAATCTTCTTCAAATTGAATATCAACTGGTGTGGGTCTATGATGGTAAGGTCTAGCAGTAGCAGGTTTCCAACTCTTACCATATGCTACTCTCTGGATTTGTGGAGTATTTGATTCTGTGAAAGCTAATGTTTGATGTTCAATAGTATCTTTTATTACTGGTATTTCTTCCTGGAGGGTTAAGGTAGACGATTCTGGTATTAATTTAGATTTGCCTTTCATTTCTAGATCAGCTAATTTGGATATAAGGTGATCCATTAAGGTTTTATTGTTTTCAATTAAACTGAATTTATTTAGTTCAGGGGGAGGTTTAAATAATAGAGTTTTTTTAAGTTCTAGAATAGGATTTGGCCTGATCATATTTTCTATTCTCATAGTTTGTTTTCCTATGGATTGCATACATAACTATGGATTGCATACATAAATTCGTATAGTTATTTTGTTCAATAATATGCGGGATTAATTCAGTTCGATGAACGATTTCTCCAGTTGTCATTTTGTAAGGAGTAGCTCTCGTTTCAGAAACAAGTGAACTTTCTCCTTCTTTGCTAGATCCTTTTATGATAACACTTTTTTTCGGTGGATGTACAGTAGTTATATTTATACCTTCTATTATTTGATATGTGGTATATTGATTTTCTATAGTATTTATTTTATTTTTTTCAAAATCTGGAATTTCAACATTTCTTTCTAATAATGTTTTTCGTAGCCATGTAAAGAATCCTATATCACATGTTTTTGTTTTATATCACTTATTATACCTTTTATGGAATAGTTCTATTGACCTGGGTTGAAATCTTTTCAAATACCATTCTCTTATATCTTTATTTTCTTTGGAAAGGTAATCTTGTTCTATCCATTGTTTAGACACTCTTTTAGTGAAAGTTAAAATATGAAAATCCATTTCTGTATCAGAAAGGTCTGGTTCAGTTTTTAATGTAGGTTGATATTGTGGAATTACTATATTATCTTTTGTTCTTAATAAACTTTGTATTTTTGGATTCATTCTACTTGAGGTAGAATGTCTAGATGATTCACCAATGGATCTGGGTAATTAATTACTATTATTTGATAATATAGATTGACGAAGTATACTTATATCATCCCTTATTATTTGATTGGGAAATTGGATTTCTATTTTCCCATCCTGATGTTCAATGATTCTATCAGGAATATTTCTATTAGGTGCTTTTAAATGATGATTTCATTTTCTAGTTTCCAAGACTCAGGTAATTTAATATCTGACCATTGTATAGTTTTAGGAATTATTAGATTTGATTTTTCAATATTTGTTTGGAAGAAAGTGATTCTTCCCTTGGTATCCATTTGGACAGCATTTGGGCATAATTTATTCATTACTTTATAATATATTCTGTATACAATAGCGATATTTTGGGATCCTGATAACATATCAAAACCTTGGGTTTTAAGATTTAATGATAATACTTTTAAGATATTAGGATCAGTTAATGATATTGAATAATCTGAAAAACAATTGAAATACACTGGTCCACTATATAGACTTGATTCTATCATTCCTAATAGGGAATCAAAAAACTTATTATATCTATTATCTCTTAAACATATTAAGATGGAATTATTTAATCCTAACCTTGTTAAGGGTTTAATAGCTACTTGGATCAATCCTATATGTAAATAATTATAGTTTTTAGTTTTATGTACCTGTATTATTTTATCTGATAATAATTGGAAGTTTTCTTGATTACTAGTAACTGATAGGGTTTGTTAAAAGTAGGTTATGCTATAAAAACTGTAGAACAAACCCTATCAGTTACTAGTAATCAAGAAAATTTCTAATTATTATCAGATAAAATAATACAGGTACATAAAATGAAAAATTATAATTATTTACATATAGGATTGATCCAAGTAGCTATTAAATCCTTAACAAGGTTAAGATTAAATAATTCCATCTTAATATGTTTAAGAGATAATAGACAATAAGTTTTCTGATTCCTTATTAGGAATGATAGAATCAAGTCTATGTAATAGACCAGTGTATTTCAATTGTTTTTCAGATTATTCAATATCATTAACTGATCCTAATATGTTAAAAGTATTATCATTAAATCTTAAAACCCAAGGTTTTGATATGTTATCGGGATCTCAGAATATCGCTATTGTATACAGAATATATTATAAAGTAATGAATAAATTATGCGTAAATGCTATCCAAATGGATACCAAGGGAAGAACCACTTTCTTCCAAACAAATATTGAAAAATCAAATATAATAATTCCTAAAACTATACAATGGTCAGATATTAAATTACTTGAGTCTTGGAAACTAAAAAATGAAAATCATCATTTAAAAGCACCTAATAGAAATATTCCTGATAAAATCATTAAACATCAGGATGGGAAAATAGAAATCCAATTTTCCAATCAAATAATAAGGGATGATACAAGTATACTTCGTCAATCTATATTATCAAATAATATTAATGAATTACCCAGATCCATTGGTGAATCATCTAGACATTCTACCTCAAGTAGAATGAATCCAAAAATACAAAGTTTATTAAGAACAAAAGATAATATAGTAATTTCACAATATCAACCTACATTAAAAATTGAACCAGACCTTTCTGATACAGAAATGGATTTTCATATTTGAACTCTCACTAAAAGAGTATCTAAACAATGGATAGAACAAGATTACCTTTCCAAAGAAAATAAAGATATAAGAGAATGGTATTTGAAAAGATTTCAACCCAGGTTAATAGAACTATTCCATAAAAGGTATAATAAGTTATATAAAACAAAAACATGTGATATAGGATTCTTTACATGGCTACGAAGAACATTATTAGAAAGAAATGTTGAAATTCCAGATTTTGAAAAAAATAAAATAAATACTATAGAAAATCAATATACCACATATCAAACAATAGAAGGTATAAATATAACTAGTGTACATCCACCGGAAAAAAGTGTTATCATAAAAGGATCTAGCAAAGAATAAGAAAATTCACTTGTTTCAGAAACAAGAGCTACTCCTTACAAAATGACAACTGGAGAAATTGTTCATCGAACTGAATTAATCCTGCATATTATTGAACAAAATAACTATAATAATTTATGTATGCAATCCATAGGAAAACAAACTATGAGAATAGAAAATATGATCAGGCCAAATCCTATTCCAAAACCTAAAAAAACTCTATTATTTAAACCTCCTCTTGAAGTAAATAAATTCCGTTTAATTGAAAACAATAAAACCTTAATGGATCAACTTATATCCAAATTAGCTGATCTAGATATAAAAGATATGAAAGGCAAATCTAAATTAATACCATAATCTTCTACCTTAACCCTCCAGGAAGAAATACCAGTAATAGAAGATACTATTGAACATCAAACATTAGCTTTCACAGAATCAAATACTCCACAAATCCAGATAATAGCATATGGTAAGAGTTGGAAACCTACTACTGCTAGACCTTACCATCATATACCCACACCAGTTGATATTCAATTTGAAGAAGATTTAATATCACATAAAACTTCCTATTCAGGCAGATCAATAGTTAACTGGAATATCGATGGCATAGCTGAAACCCAAATATTAAATACTATGAAACATATGACAATGTATGCTTCAGTCTACAAAATGGTTGGCAACTAAGATCAAGAAGTCGCCAAAGCCATAGTCTGTGGATTTACTGGCTGGTTAAGATGTTGGTGGGATTTTCAACTCCCTGAAACTTAAAAAAATCAAATCCTAACTAATACTCGTCAATGGACTGTAAAGAATGAACAAAATCAAGATATCCTCTATTCTGAAAGTGATGATGTTAATACTCTCATTTATACTATAACACTTCACTTTGTGGGGAGCACTGCATTAATGGAAGCTCGATATGAAGATTTACTTTCCAATTTAAGATGCCCAACTTTATCACATTATAAATGGTATAAGGATGTTTTCTTTTCTAGACTCTTAACCCGTGAAGATAGTCATCTTGACCACTGAAAAGAAAAATTTGTTGCCGGTCTACCATATTTATTTGCCAAAAAAGTCCGAACCAGATTAAAAAATAAACATGGTGGAAATATACAATATTTTGCTTATACTTTTGGAGAATTGTCAGCAGAAATATGTGCTGAAGGACTAGCCCTTTGCACATATATGAAATTAAAGAAACAATTGGATAAACAACGCATGACAAGCAAAAAAGAATTAGGTGATTTTTGTCAACAATTTGGTTACAGTATTGAACAAAGTAAAGACAAAACTCATAGGCATAAAAAATATAAACCAGATAAGAAGGAAAGAAAATTGTATAAGAGAAAGAAAAAAGAAAAATATATCAAAAAATTCTTACCAGAAGATCAATAAAAAAAAGAAAAAAGAAGATACCCATCTGTTATAAATGTGGAAACGTAGGTCATTATAAAAATACATGTAAAGTTAAGAAAAAACTAAATGCAATCATATTAGATGAAAGCATAAGAAATCAAATATATGATATTATCCAATTAAATAAAGAAGAATCTACATCAAGCTCAGAAAATGATAGTAGTAGTGATATTTCTCTTATAGGACAAATAGAAGATGCAAATATTATAATTTCAAGCTCTTCTGAAATGGAACGTTCTTATAGTATGCCATCTTGTAATATGTTATCAAAAGAGGATTCATTAATTTTAGATCTCATAGATAGGATAAATAACCCTGATGAGAAAAGAGAAATCTTAACCCAATTTATTAACCTTACAAAATCTAAACCTAAACCTACTCCTTTAACCCAAAAAAATGTATCTGATATATTTAAATATCACATGAAGAATTTATTCATTTTGCTAAGTATATGTCTAATATTTAATCACATCGTATAAAGAGAGACTTAGTCATTATCTCATTCACTATATTATTTCTCATATTATTGCTATCAATTTCGTGTTTCAATGAGACCAGCGAAGCAAGTGCATTTTACTAGTATGCATAATTAAAGAA